AACATTACTTGAATATACGCATGGTAGTTGGTAGACGGTATAAGATAAAATGATTAACTCAGCGACAAGTATAAACGGTTTTCTTTGTGTTGAAGATTTAGATTAAATTTGATTAGAAATCAAAACAAAATCATGTTGCGTCAAAAAATTGAACGTTTATTCTTCAGTTTATTGTCTTATGGTTTCTACTAGTGCAAAAAATAGTATATTAACCACGGTTGCAAAGCCACTTCTAGACCTCGCACTTAGAACCCTCGACGCTGCGCGTCTCGGGTTCTAATTTGCGCTCGGTCTAGAATGCTTGGCTCTGCAACCTTGGCTAATAATATACTATTTAACCCTCCTGATAGTAAAGTTACATTTATTACTAAACAGTAAGTTGAAGTAAGTTTTAAATTAAGGGAATACATCTACCACAGAAAGAAAAATGAAAGTTACTGAAGATACAAAAAACTTTATTGCAGTACATACATGCACTTTTTACATCCAATTTTGTATATTGATCGCATTCATTTACTTAGCACAAATGTAATGAAATGTAAAATGCACATGTATGTATTTTATAAAATATGTTGAAACTGTTGTCCATTTTCCCGCAAACACAAAGCCACTCTTCTTTTTTTATTTTCAAAAATGTCTTGCAACACTTTTCATTAAGATTTTCATTACAAAAACATGTAATTTTATCCATTAATTCTTCCAATGTGTGGATTCTATTCTTATAAACGCTGTACTTCATCCATCCAAATATTGAAAAATCAAATGGGCTCAAGTCAGGAGATGGGGGGGGGGGGGGCACCATCTTGCTGAAAATTACCGGACTCTAATTCTTCGGCTGGACGCGACGAGGAAAATGTGCTGATTGCAGCTCCTGAACCAACGAAATCTTATATGGATGCACATGTAACTTCTCTTTTACGATTTTCTGGCACGTGCTGTGTGTTACTCCGGACTGTAAAGAGAGTTTTGAATTTATTCCATTCTCGTCCTTAAATCCTCAACAATGTCTGCACTAACTTGAGGTCTCCCCGTCGGTTTTCCCTTAGAGACGCACCAGTGTCGTTAAACCTGGCCACAATTCGCCGTATGTGCGTCTTCAAAGATTCTTCCTCGATGACAACAGAATATTTCACCAGATACTCGTCTTTACACGCATCCACAGAGTACACCCAGTCCTCATCCTCATTTAACACCCCATCGCGGTAATAGGACATGATGATGAACGGGTTCTGCTCCAAAGAATAACCCATCCTAACCTAAAAAAGTTATTTGTAACACTGAGCATAGTCATTTCTCTGTGTTCATTACCTGAGATTATTCCACAATGATCTGAAGTTTCGATAAAAACTGTTTTTTGAGACACTTAAAGTTCGAATTAGTGTAATCGTTTCCACAAAACTGTGAAAGGCGGCACACACTGTCAACAAAGTCATGGCCTTCCTTGACTACAATATGTTATGATGACCCTGTATATTTAATACAATAATCATAGTGTTTCACCTAAAACCTAGCTTATAAACTATGAGCTTTTAAAGAATTCTCAAGTGTATTAGTCGTTGTTTCAGTCGGTTTTCTATGCATCCCATCTTATCACTATAATTTTTTTGAAGATTATCCTTAACAGTAAAAAAATAGAAGGATTCACTAGACTACACTTGTTTATGAAGGTTACGCCATTCGCTTGTTAAAAAGATTGATTCCATTTATTTGAAAAGCATTTTTCAGTGTTGTAACTCCGCAAATTTTTCAGTCTCCAGTCAGTTAAATTCGGTAAAAAACTGAATTAAGCTTTTTTGATATTGAAAGTGTAGCTAGCTTATTGAGTATATCTTGAATCCTCTTTTTTCTTAAAACACTAAAACAAGAATGAAACTGTTGCTGGGTAGCTGTGAAAACAACGGTTCAACGACATACAAGCTAAAAAACGTACACAACTGTCAAATGTCATTTATAAACAATCGTATAAACCAATAAAACATGCTTTTTTTAATCTATTAAAAAATATATATCCCAACGAACTATTGTTGAAGAAAATCATTCATTTTCCGCAATTTGCACATACTGACACCAAAATTCTTATCTATAGTTCCAAAAATTCTGGTTTTAAATTAAACTTTGCTCTTACTCGTTTTTTAAAAAGTGTAACATAAAACTATGGCTTCTAAAAGTAGAATATCTGAAAAAAAAACTCAAGTTTTCTTCTTGGACTTTAAATAAGTCTAGATGGTTGGTTGATTAATTTTGGTTTGTGATTTCCTGTTTTCTATACCATAATAAATGTCATCTAAGCATGGCCACTTCCTGTTGATTTCACTGTTTTCCATTTCCTTTATCTTGTTTTTTTTCTTTGTTATCTTCAGTTCTGTTGTCAACAAGCTTACCACAAAAGAAGTGTCGTCATATTTAATAATCACATAATGTTTTCGACTTATTTGAGTTTCTTTTTTGCAAGCTCCAATTCTCTCTCTCTTATTACCTATTAAAAGTTGCATTTTTACTTCCCGAGAAGAAGTTAAGGAAGTATTGTAATCGAGTCCATCGGGCGACTGGCTACTTTCCTGCTTTCCCGTTTCCGTCTGCCTGTCTGTCTGTCTGCCGGCTGTTTGGATTTGTATTATAGACAGATTATCTTCGAAATTACTAGACCAGTTGTTGTCAAATGTTGTATGTAGATATATTAGGAATTTCATGTAGGTGGTAAAACCAATTGACATAGTTCCAGAAATGATTGCTATTTAGATTATTCTTATTCTCTGCAAATTCTAGAAATTTTTTATAATAATTAGAATTTCTATTTTTTTGTTATTGATCGTAATTCTTAAATTCTGTATAGTATATATTCTCTTTTGGTTTCTTAAATTTTTTGTACATTTTGTTTTTCGTATTAATTATTGTAATGTGGAATTTGACATTCATGACCCTTTGTGAGGGAGAGAAAAAATAATTTAAAAAATTCTTTTGTGTAAATGTAATCATTCGTTTTAAATTTTAGTTCTGAAAAGACGACCCCTTATTCAAATTTCGACTCATTTTCGACGATTTTCGAAATTTAACTAAATATATTTTCTTGTAGATTTGGGGCCGCAGAAGTCACTTTCAGCCTCATTTCTTAGATAATTCCAAACGTTTTTCCAGAATCTCCCACTGAATTATCGCAACTTTTAAAAATTTCAAAAAACCCGAATTTCACTTCGGAATTTTCGAAAATATCCATGACCCTAAACACGTTATATTTTTGGAATCAGCACGTCAAAATCTATGATCTTGAATTTTTTGAGAATTTTTAGACGAGTGTTTCAGAAATGAAATTTTCTACTTTTGGTTTTCTTTTTTACTCAATAGTCTTAATATATATTGTTTGCTTTCAACAACACGATTACGCAACAATAAGTTTCACATAACAAATTCTCGTAGAAAAACAAGGATTTTGCAATTAAGCTCCGCCCCATGACTTACGACGGCTAAAAAAAATCATCACGATTGAGATCGGGTGGGTGGGCGGGGCTTATGTTATACCTTTTTTTCTTAACATACGTAGTCGTCTGTTTTAAATTTTTCTTGTGAAAAGATGCCTACGTATAAGAAAAAAAAGGCATTCAAAGTTTAGTTTTTCTTTTCGAAATTTCACCATTTAGGATGAATCTGACCACAGTGGCTAACTTTTCACGTTTTTTGAAATATCTATCTAAATTGATATTTTGTTTTTGTAAGTGAATGTCAAATTGCCGTAAGGCTTTTTTTAATGATTTCTTTCGAACTTAGACTCGGAGAGGAACATATAGAGTGTTCATTTCCACATCTGAACATATCATCCCAATCGATTGTTTAAAAAAAATTCGTTAATCTTTTCATAGTTTGCTTTCCTTAAGTTATAAATAGAATTATTGTTTTCAATTTCTTTACAAGAATTTTAATTTTTACATTTAAATTATAAATTCTCGAAATGAAAGATGGTCCATATACCTATTTATATCGGGTATGTATAGAGTTTCGACTATAAAATGAAGTTCGCCTAATGAAATTGACACATATATGTCTTCACAAGTAAATGAGGGAGTAATGATACGTTGTAATCTGAGTCTGGATGAAACTGCTATTAAAACATCTCCTCTACGTTATTTAGCACTGGTTTTACTGTCACGATCCGGAGACACAATCCAGTTCCTATTAAAAAGTTCAGAAGTTAAGATGTCGTAACTTAGTCCTGTTTCGCTTAACACGATCAGATCGAAATTGAGATTTCATGTTTCTTGATAAAAGATACTTTTGTACTTAGCCCTCTTAGATTTTGACAAAAAATTGGGCTGAAGTTATTTAGACAGAACTTCCCGCTTCCGTGGAGCATATGCATATTTTGTAATGCACATCAATTTGAGTAGGTGCATAATATGTACTGATAATAATAGCAGTATTGTATTCCCGGATTTTCAGGAAAATGAATTGAGTCATTCCTGATTTAAAAACTCTTATCATCCTAACCTCTTGGCACCAAGATTATCTGACTAATAAAAATCGACACAGACGTTAGACAGACGGAAAACCTATTTTTGGTCTTGATAACCAAGACCTCTTTTAACAGCAAGCTTAATAAATATAATGCTCAAATGTATAAATTTAATATGAATGTTGTTTAAACAAAAATTAGGTTGTGTGACGTTTTTCCGTAAACATTGTTTTTATTATCATATATTTGTGATTAAAAAATATAAAACTTAAATGTTGTCATTAAAAAGATAAAGATATTCTGACAGTGTAGCCGATTAGATTATACCTGATAATAAATAACGTAAATATCAACTTCCACATAAAAATATTACGAATGCACACTTCAGCGAAGAGTTATGAGTTAAGTGTTCTCTTTTGTCGCCGCTTCTGTGTACTATTTTATCATATTTCCAAATGAGCGTTTATCACTGTTGTGGAATAATGTTGTAAGCCGGATACGATATATTTATTTTTAGATAACTACTCACTCCACTAAGTCTTTTTTTTTACTGCAGGATAGTCCGCAGCAAGGGCTCATACCAGAAAACATCTTGAACCAAGTTCCACTGGTCTCCGGAATTGTGCCGGGACGTTTATTTTTTTAATAGTGTTGTGTGACATTCAGTAGCATGAAACACGTGTTAATATTCTTCGGTGTTGAAAGCTAGTGTAATTATTGTGTGTCCACATTTTCTAATCGACGATGTGTAAACGACGGCGATTTAAAACCGCAAAATTTTGATTAAAATGAAGCAAAGTGGCGACGAAGGGATGAAAAAAAAATAGTGAGGTGTTCCATGGTGGTTTATCACTCGTGGTAATATGCCAGGACTCGTAGTATTTCGACGAAGATGGAGTGTAGGATCGGACGATTTGGTCGTACCTGGGGCTTTTCTATTCACCGTCCACCTAATCTGGTAAGACATATTTAGTTTCGTGGAATAAATATAGACAGAGTATCGTAAATGGATTGACGTTGATCGCATTTTATCTTACCTTGGCTAGGAAAAAATGCGTGTTAACTTTGAAAATATTGCTGGTAGTATACTTATTGACAATAAAAGGTTCACTTAACGCGTCAAAATTCATTTAAATATTCAAACATAATTGAAAGATCAATCTTGATAAAGACGTATTGAGAAAACTTTTGGGTTTAAAGTGGAATTGGTGCAACTGGAACTTCTATCGACCTGCGAATGCAATAAAGTAGCGCCGAAAGGTCAAAGGTCGCGAAAGCGTTTCCTGCTGGATGTGAGACGTTGCGATCAATGCACCTTAAATAGGCAGATCAAATGATAGCTCAACAGGAAACCATTTACAGAGCTTACGCTTGCACATTCCCACCCATGCACTGACTTTTTTAATGTTATGAAGCGATGATACATCTCAACTTTATCGACATTCATGACTCACGCTGTTTCCGGACTTATGTATAAATCTTCCTGTCTTATCACTCTCTTTCCCCTTGCAAAACTTTCCGAACTTTGAACGATGAATGCATGGAATTATTAAACACTTACAAGTCTGATTTCTCTCCCAACTCGGAACTTCGCAAATATTTGTATTGGTTGGTCCTAGGGATGGGTCTGTTCTATCTTATCTATTATCTGTGTTTGACCAGCAAACCAGAACTTCCCCTATTTATCAAATATTTGTGATATACAAATCAAACCGATCGTCTTACAATGGTAACTGCGCATCACAGACGAAAAATGTAAAAATGTGGAGTACAATAACGCATTTTAATTTATTCGGTATGAATGAAGAGCTTTCATTGACTCTTTGTCGTGTATCGTAGCTTGCCCCGGACCAACTCAAAATCGATAGTCGACATCCCGGAGTTCTCTGCTCCACTCACATCTTTTGTTCATTGCCTTATCTTTTATTTCCTTCGTAAATGATTCTTGTATTCGATTTCGCGATAGTCATTTCTTCAAAATGGAGGCAAAAATGGATGCACGTTAGGCAGATAGCAAGAACTGATGAAAAATCAATGTAATATGTACATCGATAGGTTTTAAAAGTTGATGAGTTTTTTTGTTACGGTTCCCTAAAACTAGAAATCCGCATCGATTTAAAAAAAATCTGGCCCAAAAAAATTCGCCATTAAAGTGAGGTCATCATTTTGCTCATTTTTAATTTATTTACTTGAAACCTTATGACCGACATTTGTTTTGTTACAGGACTATCATTCTAACAGTGCTTCTCAGTCTGTCCACTTTTGCAAATTTAGAGAAGTGTGAATTACAACTGTTAGGTTTAGTTGTGGGTTACTTGGTTATTTTGGGATTATCTATGGCTATCGAACTGGCCATTTGCGTGGTAGCCATGAGGGGGAGTATTTTGGATACGACGCCACGATCCTCCATGCAGTACATCTTATATTTTCGATTAGGTAAGTAAGTAATGTAAACAATTGGTCCTAAATATGACTTTTAGTAAGGTACCTAAGCCAAATATTGTCATCTTAAAGCTGTTAACATTTTTTGGTAACTTGAGTTTTTAACCAAAAGCTGAAATTACTTCAGTAGTTTAACTAATGAGTATTCTTTCTTTAAATGAAATAAATGAAAAGAAAATCGGTAAAAATGTCAACCGTGACAGTTTTTGTACATTTTATAAATCTGCATAGATGTTGATTTGTTGGCGTACGCCAGTTTGTTATGTAAAATATAACTATAAAACTCTTTTTATTTAGCTATAAATAGTTTTTACCTTTATTGAGTAATGTTTTCATTGTGAAAGGAACAATGATTGGAAGTATTTTAAATAAAAATATGATGTAAGTATAAAACAACATAAAATTTCTGTGTCCTTCGTCATTTCAACGTTGTCATGTTAGAAACGTGATCCTACAAGCTTGATTTTTTTTTCTGAGTTTTATTGTTTTCATTGTTCTTGTTTATTTGTAAGTCTTTCGGTTTTCTTGCGGAAATGAGTTCTTAGTAACTTCTTATATTAATGGTAGTTCTTTCTTATTTATTTTTGGGAATTTTAACTACTGGAGTAACAAAGAAACCGCTATTTGCGAAAGTGTTACGTACTTCTTCAGATGGAACTGTTTTTTACAATCTTTACCATCACGGTGTTTTAATTTTCTCTTTTTTTCTTTATTATAACTTATAGTTTATAATAAATAAATAAATGCTTTAATTTCAGTTGGTTAAAATCAGTGATTGGAGCTATTACTTTTAAAAAGTAATTCATTACAATTGCTCATTACTTGTAAAATAATAATTCATTATAAATTATTTTCTAAAAAAAATTGCGAAATTTTTCTTTTTTGATAACCTCAATGGAGTAAGAACAATATAGAAGGCACTAGTCACAGTGTAATAGAAAAAAAGGTTTCACCTTCTTAAAAAAGACAGTTGGCAGCCCCGAGAAGGAAGATTCAATATTCTTAAAAAAAGACACCTGGGGCCCCTGAGAAGGTTTCGCCTTCCTTAAAAAAGGACAGTTAGGAACCCCGAGAAGGGTTTACATTCTAAAAAAATACATTTGGAGCCCCCGATAAGGTTTCACATTTTTAAAAAAGGTATTTGGGACCACAGGTTGGAACTTCCGAGAAGGTTTTACATTTTTTAAAAAGACAGTTGGGACCCTCAAGAAGGTTTTACGTTTTTCAAAAAGACAGTTGGGACCCCGAGAAGGTTTTACATTAAAAAAAAAAAACATTTGACGTCTTCGAAAAGGTTTTACATTACTAAAAGACAGTTGGGACCCCTGAGAAGGTTTGACATTTTTAAAAAGACAGTTGGAATCCCGAGAAGGTTCCACATTCTAAAAAAAACATTTGACTTCCCAGAGAAGGATTTACATTTTTAAAAAAGACAATTAGGAACTCCGAGAACGTTTCACAATATTAAAAAAATACATTTGGGGCGCCCGAGAAGATTTTAGATTAAAAAAAAACATTTGGCGCCCCCGAGGATTTACATTTTTAAAAAAGATAGATGGCACCCCCGTGAAGGTTTCACATTCTTAAAAAATACATTTGAGGTCCCCGAGAAGGTTTTACATTTCGAAAAAGATAGTTGGGACACCTGAGAAGTTTTCACATTCTTAAAAAATACATTTGGGTTCCAAGAGAAGATTCTACATTTTTAAAATATACAGTTGGTACTCTCGAAAGATTTTCACATTATAAAAAAAAAACATTTGACGCCCCCGACGAGGTTTTATATTTTTAAAAAAGACAATTGGGAACGCGTAGAAGGTTTCACATTCTTAAACAAATACATTTGGGGTCCCCGAAAAGGTTTTCATTTTAAAGAAAGACAGTTAGGACCCCCGAGAAGGTTTTACATTCTTAAAAAAATACATTTGGGGCCCCCGACAAGGTCTCACATTTTTAAAAAAGGCGGTTGGGACCACAGGTTGGGACTTCCGAGAAGGTTTTACGTTTTTCAAAAAGGTAGTTGGGACTCCTGAGAAGGTTTTACATTAAAAAAAAAACTATTTGAAGCCCCCGACAAGGTTTTATATTTTTAAAAGACAGTTGGGACCGCCGAGAAGGTTTCATATTAAAAACAAAATTTGACGCCCCTGAGAAGGTTTGACATTTTTAAAAAAGACAGTTGGGACCCCCGAGAAGGTTTTACATTAAAAAAAATATATTTGGGGTCCCCGAGAAGGTTTTACATTTTTCAAAAAGACAGTTAGGACCCCCTAGAAGGTTTTGTATAAAAAAAAAACACATTTGGCGCCCCCGAGAAGGGTTTACATTTTCAAAAGAGACAGTTGGGACCCCCGAGAAGGTTTCACATTTAAAAAAGACAGTTGGGACCTCCGAGAAGGTTTGACATTAAAAAAAAACATTAGGCGAAGGTTTTATACATTTTTAAAAAGGACTGTTGGGATCCCCGAGAAGGTTACATATAAAACAAAAAGATATTTAGGACCACCGAGAACGTTTTGCATTTTTAAAAACAACAGTTGGGACCCCCGAAAAGGTTTCAGATTCTAAAAAAAACATTGGCGCTCCTCGAGAAGATTTTACATTTTAATAAAAACAGTTGGGACCCCCGAGAAGGTTTCACGTTAAAAAAAGGGCATTTGGGGCCCCCGAGGAGGTTTTACATTTTTTAAAATGACAATTGGGACCCCCGAAAAGGTTTCACATAAAAAAAGACATTTGGGGCCCTCGCGAAGGTTTCATATTCTAAAAAATGCATTTGGCGCCCCCGAGAAGGTTCTACATTTTTACAAAAGACAATTGGGACCACCGAGAAGGTTTCACATTCATAAAAACATACATTTGGGGTTCCCGAGAAGGTTTTACAGTTTTAAAAAAGACAGTTGGGACTCCTGAGAAGGTTTAACATTAAAAAAAATATTTGACGCCCCTGAGAAGGTGTGACATTTTAAAAAAATTCATTTGGGACTCCCTATAAGGTTTTACGTTTTAAAAAGACAATTGGGGCACCCAAGGTTTCACATTAAAAAAAAAATTGACGCCCCTGAGAAGGTTTGACATTTTTAAAAAAGACCGTTGGGACTCCCGAGAAGGTTTCACATAAAAAAACATTTCGCGCCCCCTTTTACATTTTTAAAAAAGACGGTTGGGACTCCCGAGAAGGTTTCACATTAAAAAAAAACATTTGACGCCCCCGAGAAGGTTTTACATTTTTAAAAAAGACAGTTGGGGCCCCCGAGAATCTTTCACATTTTTAAAAAAATACGGGCGTATTTTCACGCTTTCCAGGAACTGAGGTAATTTCGTCCATAAAAAATTTGTTATGAGGTTATAAACGTTATAAACAGTTAATACACAATGCGAGAGAAAAAGAGAGAAAAGAAAAAGGAAAACAAAAAGAAAGGCGAAGTTTGGAATTGAACCCCCTCACGTTCGGTCCACATTCCTGATTCGTAACCACTAGACCATATAGGACTATATTGTTGTATAACAGTCAAATCAAATAAATATAGAATTCTTTCAAATGACGTCATCAAATTGTTGGTGGGGACGATTAGCAAAATATTTTTATCATTTAACCATCTACATGATATTTTTAATATACATACAAAATTTGACAACAATCAGTCCAGCAGTTTCCACTCACTGGTTGGTCCAAGTATTTGTTACGTACGCAATGTTTACAATACCTTGTACAACTCACTAAGGAATATATTATTGCTTCAGTTTACAATTCTGCAACATTTTAGAAGAATTAACATTTTTGTCACAATCTGTTGTTACCTTATTCATCAGTTGGGCAGATTTTTTATTAATTTTATCATCGTTTTTTAAATTTGGTGAAATTTTTCATCACGTACATACCTTTAAAAATCAATATTTCAATTATTTACAGAGATTTCGGAACCACCTTTTCACCGTTTCCAGCTTACAAAACTCTGTAATAGTAAAAAGCACAACCTGTTTTTTAGGAGTCCACAATATCTTCGGTACGATTTATAGACATTTGTCAGGTGAAAATACCGGTGAAAAGCGTGTCCCTAAATTTTCATAACTAATTGAGATATTGTTTTTAAAGAAGCGTGATCAAAAATTTCACAAAAATAAAAAAAACATGATAATCCTAAAAAAAAATTGCAGTTGCATTATACAATATATAGAGAATGTTATGGACAGCTTATATTTAAAATTTCATAACAATAAGTCTGTTAATAATAGAGGTCATCCGCAAATAGAAGTTTCTCACACGGAATATTTTAAACAATATCATTCGTAATCGTAAGTAGAATAAATAACAGCCTTTGGAAACTTGTAAGTTTTAGAATTTTCTGGCCGTACGGTACACCACAATGGCAATGTTACTTGGAAATAATTCATTGTTGCAAATATCATCTCATCAGAAAGCCAAGTCTCCCACAACGCAAATAAATTATGATCAGCATAGAAACATATACAATTGCAAAAATTTGTTAAGGTGTGATCCATAGTTTACCGAATGCGAGAACGATTATGATGGGTTTTAGATCGACGCGACGTAACCGTAAATGAAGTAATCGCAGTAGTAACTGTAGAATGATAAAGTAACGAACTTCAATGATATCATTTATAGTGGACCGTAACCATAATCGTATACGTAAGTATCGTTATCGTACGTATGGTCATCTTTTATCTTAACCGCAGTGACTAATGCGGTCAGACAATCCGATGAAATGAAGAAATCTGCCTGACACACTGTTATTTTATCCCTGACATTTATCTGATAAAACTCTGGATTTTTTAGCCGTAATTTATTCAGGATTAATCCGATAAAAAATCAGATACATATCCAAACTCTTAATAGAGAATGAATTAAAGTGCTATTATACCTAGGTATATTCATGAAGAATTGATTTATATTACAATAAATAGGTATTAAAGAAAAATTAAATGTATTTCCATTTATTTTGTATTATATTTCTTGGTTATAAGTTGAATTAATATCTTGACTTGTTGAATTGACTTTTAATTTGATTTTTTCGATTTGTGACCTAATTACTCAAGCATTTGTTGACGGTAGCCCGTAACTTGACACAGTTTTTTTATTGTTGTTAAAAATGTGCATTCTTGTGATGAATTCGCAATTTCGCAACATAACCTGAATATGGGTTGTGTATGTCTGAACTTAGACGGCTAGGTCGACAAAAATTAAACCCTCAAACCCTCGTTGGATTTAAAATGATTTATTTATCACGAGTAACATATTTAATTGAATTCACAACAATTGCTGGAAGTGTGGACTTCGTTACATAAATTGACCCAGCGTTTCATATTCGCAAATACTTAAGTAAGAACTTCCGGCAAAACACTTTCACACTCTTGTATTATTCTCACTTTTAAGTTCTCAATTGTATCTGTTGACTGTTTAAATATAGTGTTTTTTAAAATCATCGAGAACAGGAAATAATCTAAAGGTGTCAAATCAGGTGATTGAGGTGGGTAGATAATAGATATGGGAGCTAATTAGACGGTCGTCATAAAATTCCCATAGAAAGTTCAAACATTTGAGCGCTATGAATTGTTTCGCCGCCATGCTGAAAACACCTTTTCTGCAATTAATTCTTCAGGATCAAGCTTGTCAATAAATTCCTGCAGCATCTTCTGATATTTCACAGCTGTAACTAATTTTTCCTGACACACTAAACTCCAATTTCTTGTAGGTGTAATTGGGTTTTTTTTCAAATTGCACTCCAGGTCCTCATATTTTGCGAGTTTACATACTCTGATAAATGAAACCAGGCTTCATCAATATGAAACAATGCTTTATACTCCAGGGACCAATCAGCGAACTAGCAAACAGACAAGATAGATAGGTCACGGTTACTCGTCCCACTTAAAAGAACCTTATCAGATTCGGAAGGAAAACACTGATAATTCTGCACCGGATTGGCTAGGTCTGGTTCATTTAAATCGAAATTATCACTACTGTGACACCGATTAGCGTCAAAAATGTCGTCATGAAAACTCGAATTGGATGGAGTTTCCGGCTTTCGGGATGTATACCTTGAAGTTAGAGGAACACCCTGTCGCTAGATTGCTGAATATAACCGTAGATTCGTAGATCTGTCATAACAATACCATTTTTACCGCTTATTTACATAAGGTCAATTGATAACGCGGCATCAAGGCGGCAAAATTGGCGAAACTTGACGAAGTGGCTCTTCGACGACATGACGACGGTGAGGTTGAGGAAGCTGAGTATTCGGGTCAAACTGGACTATAGACTGACCGTCGGAGCTGAATCGGATAGACTCAATGAATAAGGTCTATTCCGTTTCTTATTTATAGGAGTTTTGGTCCCTGGGGATGAAGAAGACGTTTCCAACGATGTATCCCCGTCGAGTGAAGTAGGAAAAAATACGGTCAAAGAAGACATTCTTGAACGCTGGAGTTGCCCATGTTGTCAGGTCTTCTCAGAATTTAATTATGTACCTTTGTATTTGGGAAGAAATATGTTTCGACTAAATTCTTGGCTGTTTTAAGGACGGAATTTCCGATCCGCCACAAGTGTATCGTGACAATACATAAAAACTTCTACATTTCGGTGCAGCATACTTGCGTAATCGTTCCGCATTATAGAAACAACACTGTATTTTTTAGATCTGGCCAATACGGAAGATGACAATATATGGCTTAGGTACCATGTTAAATTTATCTAGTAGTCTATGTAGTAGGGTGTCCCTTGAACAATTTTTGTGATGCGTACCCTCTAATATTTGTTGTGCCTTTTTTAATATTTCGGAAAAGGCAAGAATTGCGCCAATTTACAGTAGGATAGAAGAAAAATCCTTCCATGCATAATTTTGAAGTCGTGTCGGTCGGGTCGCATCATCACAGAAAGCTGAAACTTCATGTTTGTGTTTAAGTAGTACTAAAATAATTAAGGGGTATGCATTATATATTTTGAAAAAACATTTGTTCGCCCCCTATGGTTTATTCTGTACACTCGAAGTGGAATAGATCAATTTCGTCCTCAATAACTAAGTGATAATAGCCGACGTAATGTCTCTGTTTCAGCTGTGATGTTTATAGAAGCTGGCTGGTTGTCCGTCGGAGTGGCATGGTTTTATGAGAATTACTTCACCTGTAAAACAGTGAACCCGATGAACCCGAAAGAAACCGTCCTGGGTATGGTCGTTTGTAATTGGTGTATATTATTATCTGTGCTAGTAACTGTTTGGTGCACATATGACGCGGCAGGCCGCTCATGGGTAAAAATGAAACAGTACCAAAGATCAATGCGGGAATCAGAATCCAAGTTTCAGTACAAAAGGTCCGGCAGTACTCGAAATTGGCGACAACGGTAATCCGTCACACTGCGAAATCCCCTACTAACTATCCCCTTCCAGAAAAGTCCTGCGGGCTTACCAGGACAGCTGGCAGCAGCGCTGCCGTTTCCTGTTCTGTTGCTCGGGAACGTCGGACCGAAACCGCAATTCCTTCGCCGACATCGCGCGATTGCTCTCCGACTTCTTCCGGGACCTGGACGTCGTACCATCGGACGTGGTCGCGGGCCTGGTCCTACTGAGGAAGTTCCAGAAGATCGAAAGGAAGGCCATCGTCGAGCAACGTAAAAATGATACTTACGAGTTCCTTTCGGGCGTAGCCGTAACCCCACGGACCCAGTTTCTGTCTCTGCACGAAGGTGCCGATTTAGAACTGTTTCAGACAGTCATACATTATGCTCACTTTGCCGTTCGGGCTTACGGTTGGCCCATCTACGTATGGACGTCATCTATGGGTCTGTGCAGGTTGTGCGCTGACTTGAAGTGTTGTTGCTGCCTGCCGTGTCAAAAACGCGTCTCGGCTGAAATTGTCGAAGACAACTGTTGCAGGTGCAACTACGCAGCCTTACAGAAACTCACCAGTTTGGGAGATATAGAGATTATATATGCCACTTACCACGTGGACGTGGGTGAAACTCCCTTTTTCGTTGCCTTAGATTACGATCGGAAGAAAGTGGTGATCAGTGTTAGAGGCACGTTGAGTATGAAAGTAAAACGTTGACGTTTCTCAAAAATTAAAGATTATAAACAGCAACTTTTAGGATATTTTAACCGATTTGAACGCCGAAGGTGAAACGCTTCCGTTGGATCCTCCACGAGAGGATTGGTTGGGACACAAAGGTATGGTCCAAGCAGCCCAGTACATTCTGGATAAACTTCAAGAAGAGGAGTTGATCGAACGAGCCTTACAACACTGTCCGGAAAGGGGAACCAATGATTTCCAAATCGTGATTGTCGGACATTCCCTAGGTGCTGGTGCGGCCAGCATTTTGGGAATACTCTTAAGACAGTATTATACTTCTCTTAAGTGCTACTGCTATTCTCCCCCTGGAGGTCTCCTTAGCATGCCGGCTGTGGAATACACCAAATCTTTCACCATATCCGTGGTGGTAGGGAAAGATGTAGTACCCAGAATAGGACTCCACCAGATGGAAGCGCTGCGGGCCGATTTGATCAACGCCATCAAACGCAGTGTGGACCCTAAGGTGGACTTGATAAAACTTCGCTCCAATTCATTGCAAATACTTTGTTTGTTTTCAGTGGAAGACCATTACCTGCAGCATCATTTGCTGCGGTTGTTCTCAGCCGACATCAGCCGTTGAATTATCCACAGGAGAAAGCGACGTTGGAGAGTATATGAGGTCTCGACGGCACGCCCGTGATGGACTACACCCCTCTGACAGTTCAATAGCTCTGACGTCGCATCAACCCCTCTATCCTCCAGGTCGTATAATACACGTGGTGCGCCATCACCCAACACGTGGCGAGTAAGTATCTTTCATTCGGAAAGTGAAACTAATCCTACACCGCTCCTTATTTCAGACAAAAGTATGAAAAGAGATGGAGGTAATAAAACATTTTGTGATTGTTGCATGATGTTCCCCTTGCACCACGTGATTTTTATACTTTTGTGGTAGTTTGATATGTTACTGTTTTGTTAATTGACCTGACGATGTGTGTATTTTCCCATTTCCATGATGATTTTTTTGTTCTCCAGACAAGCCCTCTCGAAACGGGAACCGGTATATCAAGCGCTGTGGGCTCATAATACCGATTTTGACGAAGTGTTGATTTCTCCGGTGATGATACAGGATCACATGCCTGATAAAGTATTAGATGCCCTCAACAAGGTACGGTCGCATCGTGTTCGTCAGCCCGATATCTACATGTTCAGTGACCAGGTAGATTAGCTAGCATGGATAGCATTTTCAATGGGAAACCGCTTATAACCGTGTATTTGCACCAAACAAAAAGCACTTGACAACACCGTAGAAATTTCACGTTTGGGTAAACTAGTCTTTTGTGTTTGTATAAAATGCTATTCTTCACTGGAGGCCGTACGGTTACAAATTTTCACGTAATCTGTGATTAGAGTGTATACTTTGTCTTATTTTTAGTTTGTTATTTATTTATTTTTAGTTTAATGTGACAGTGGATTCATTTTTTACATTTTTAGTAAATATATTATTTTCAAGTGTTCTGTTGTGTACTTTTTTTATTTTTCTATCATGTACTAGATACTCTAAGTATGTGCTTTTCTCTAAGTCTTTTGACTACCAAAGAAATCAAACTGCCAATGTAAAACTGGCGAAAGCGACCTGCTCACGGGTTGGTAACAGTTGTTGGTGTGTTTGATTTCACCAATTATGAAAAAAATTGTGCAGATGTCTGCTTTCGAGTATTTTCTAAGCGTGCATTGTGCATCCCAACACGCCAGAATATGTTAGTTGCAAGCAATTGGCGCAAGTCTGATAGGCCGTGTGTATGTGTGGGCAGGTGGAACGTGGTGTTCTAACCAGAGGGCGCCACCAACATACTTCATCAGGGTCGCCTCATGACCATAAACCTCCCCCACCAGATACAAGGTACTGACATTGTTTTCATCGCTATCCCTTTATACCTTCTTTACAGAATGTTTTTTTGAATGGACTTTCCACATTATACTTAATAACATTTTAATATTGTTTCGTAAAAAATTTTATAACTGGATTGTAATAATCTTATATCTCTAAAGAGGGCAGGGCCGTCGTAGTATCATAGAAGAGTATAAATGTATGAACGTACAATAATAATTGGCTGGACTAACTTACTAGATTTTAAAATAAAATGTATGCCATTTTAAAATTCACCATAAAATGAATAACAATTTTGAATAACTAACCTCTTACCTTTGAACGGTATGTTGGCTAAATTGATTCCCTCAAAGGGGAAATGATTCTCCAAGGCCAAACTTTTTTTTAATAGATCATCGAAGTTGACCGACCTTTGCAGAAAATATTCAAATTTTTAAAGTAACTACCTTTTCTTCATTTATATTTGAAAATTTGTGGTTCAGAACACGTTCAGAATAACTACTTGAACAACCAACTATACATTCAAATCCAGATTGCTCAAATATTTATATGTTAGTAAGTATGTGTATATGTACTGTGGTAGACTTTAAAAAATGTTTTACCACGTAATGATATAATAACTTTGTAACGTTAATTCATTATATGGAAAAAACTGCAGAGGAAGTTATTAAAAATATGCAGACATATACCTAATACACTATATATTGTGATAAACTAAGGAGTCATTCAGGTGGTAAATTAGTCAGTGATGTAATTCCTCCTTAAAATCGGCTATAATACAGGTGTTTCGTGTTTAAGACTTTTTGTGTTGTTTTTTTTTTTTTTTTAGTTTCTATAATAATCGCATCTTCTACGTAATTCTAATTATTGTAATAGGTTTCATTTGACGAATGGTCAACTCAATAATTTGATGACGTTATTTCAAAATTTGTAAAATAAATAATATTTTTATTTTATAAAATAGCGCGCCAATACTTGTGATTTATTAATTCGTCCTTATTTTTTGCCTTATACATGTAGATTTTTGTAAATAAAACTTGTATAATAATATTTTCCCATTTAAGTTGTCGTAAGCACAGCTAATTGAAATTGATCTCCTTATTTCCTCCAAAAAGTTGATGACGTCATCTCAAAATCTCACTGGATCGTTTACGTCTAAAATATGCAAAAAACTATGAGTTTGTTGTTTGTTGTCTTTAGTCGTAGTAATTCCTATCCAAGTTGTATTTAAATAGCCGCAAAGTGTGAGGTTAAATATCATTAATAAAATAAAAGGGCTGCAAAGCGTTTTATTTGAAATTTGGCGCCATTGGAAATGGAATCCAATAAGAGAACCACAAACAACTTGTTTCATTTAAAATTGATTAAATAGTAGGTAGTAAATAAAAAAGTTAACAAAATGAAACTGATAACCACAATGATCCAAATGATCACAATAATATTTGCAAATGAAACGAAAATCCTGATGACACAGATTAAACTTTTTAATAATTTACTGCTATAATTTTAAGAATCCTACTTTTGTTAAAGTTCTTTTATATACATATATTCACTTATTTCACTGTGTGGAAGAAATTTAATCAATACAAAAATTATTTGTTACCCACACTTTTTTTTCACGTAAAATGTTTTTGTATTGATTCTTTTAAATATTTTTATTTTTTGTATTGTTTACATGTAAAACTTACAAAAATGTTGTATTGTTGAAAATATGATAATTTTTCTTTAATATTGTAATAAAAAATTAAATCCTCATAAATATACATATAATATATTACCTACTTAATATTCTACTGACGGTTTGGAAAGACATCCGGAATTTTTATCAAATTAATCTTAATAGATGTCGGCTAAAAATCCGGATATATAAATATTACGGAAAAAACTCAGCTATTAAAGCTATTTTTAAAAATAGCCGGCTAATTAACAACACTTTAAATGTGGTCTGTGACTTACCAGTAGTGATTTTTTCCGGTTGGCACACCTGATATTAAACTCAAATTTTGGGCATCAAGTCAGTAGCTGCCAAATTTAAAACTTTATACTACCCCGTCACCCAAATCTCTCCTTTAACTTTGCAATTTAAAATCATTATTGAACATTAAACCAAACCGAAAAAGAAACCCTAAGTTTATCTAATAAAGGTTTTAGTGAATAGGAGTTATTATGTTCTTAACAGGTTTTTTTTGCCTTCTTTATGTAAAAATTGACAACTGGGAACTGACATGTTAACATTGCTGCCAATAATTCAAAATTGCCAACCCAAAAATTTGCTTCAATTAATACTAGGTACTCAAAGATGAAGACTTCTTTACAAAATTTTATTTAAAAAAATATACTTACAATTTTTTACGTCTAGTTTAACAGTCCATATTCACCTTTATTTTTACTTAAAGGCGGCAATCATAAAAAATAAAATAAAATTTGTAAAATAAATTTTTACTTCCTGAGCGTAAGCCAACTTGTACGTTTTCTTGACCTTTCATGACCCCTACAACACGAAGAAATAAGTCTCCCGTTTCCGTTTGTCTGTCTGTCTGTCTGTCTCCCGTCTGTCCGGATTTTTATTAGATAGACAATCTTCGAAACTACTGAACTTTGTCTAATCATCCCCACCAATAATGTGATAATGACTTCAGAATTGTACATAGTAAATGGGTTTTAAATTATATTATAAAATAACATAGTTCTACACATGTAGTTTATGACTCCGTGTTGAGTTTTTACCCGAAGTATCCAGATTTTTAAAAAACAAAATAATAATTTTGCAGTTTAATTTTGAATTTGGAAAACCGAATGCTTTGACATCTTGCAGATATGTTAAAGTTATGTCAAGCGTGATAAATTTTTAATCAAAATATATTTGCGTATCCCCTCCAAAGAATTGATGACGTCAGCTCGAAATTTTGCCGATCAAATCAATAAATCCTACCTAAAATGTCCATACATGTCTATACATGTGATTTCTCTTTCCATTCATATTTTTTGGATTTGTTTATACAGGTGACTCCAAAAAAATGATTGCGTGAATTTATTCGATTGATTTAATCAGGAACTGCAAAATCGAATGCTTTGAAATCTGAGATGTTTTAAAGTTATCATAAGCATGGTAAATTTTTAATATCAAAATATATTTGCTCTGCCCCCCCCCCCCCCCTAAATCCCGTCTCAAATGTGCAAAATATGAAGAGTCTATAGTTGTGATTTATCACTGCATTATTATTTTTTAGATTTGCTTATACCGGGTGTTTCAAAAAAATCAATGACTGAGTCAATGTATTTTCTTGATTAAATCAAGAATTGCAAAACTGAATACTTTCAAATCTTGCAGGTGTTTTAAAGTTATTGTGAGCATGGAGCATGGTAAATTGTTAATAAAAGTATATCTATTTATTTCATTCAAAAAATTGAAATGACATCATCTCAAAATTTTGCTGAATAAATTCTTCCCAAAATGTGCAAAGTATGATGATTGATAAGTTTTTACTTGTGATTTAGGTGAATCAAAAAATTAATGAATGAGTCAATTTATTTTATCAATTAAATCAGGAACGGCTCACTCCATTTTCCCAGAAAAGTTTGAGAATACAATACTGTTATTTTTAGTATGTATTACATTGGGCCAATCCTCCAAGTTGATATACGTGTCCTCGCAAAAATGTTGATGACGTCATCACAAAATTGTATAAAGAAAAACTCAACTTGAAAATATGCTGGATATGTTTCATTGTATCATTGTACTTTAGGTGCCAGGGAACTTCTGTTGAAACAACCTTCGACCATTTTTTCCGTCAGGTTGGCACACCTGATATCAAAGTCAAATTTTGGGCACCAAATTAGTACCTAGCTGCCATCTTCTTAACAAGTTTTTTAGGCTTGTTCATGTCAAAATTGACAATCGTGAACTGACGTGCTAACATTTCTGCCAATGATTCAAAACTGGCAAGAAAGGGGTTGATCATAAAAATAAAATTAAATTTGTAGAATAAATTTTTATTATTGTTGTACAGGGGTAACGAAAATTCTGTCTGAAAAACAGTTGTTTTTGTTGTAAAACTCTACTAAACAATACATATTCGTAAAAAGCGTGATTAAATTAAAATGGAAATTCGACACCAAATATCGTCTTACTCAAATTCAGAATGTTAACAAATAATTTACATTTAGAGAATCGTAAACACCACTTGAAAAATTTGGCACTTTCGAAAACTACAGTTTTTTGGCGGCAGAATTTGAATATTGCCATTCTGCAGCAATTTCTTACCTAAACCCAAAATAGGCTTGGGTAATAAATTTATGTTCTTTTAGAGCCCACATTTTTCCGTATCCTTGGCGATTTAAAGAAATAAACGTTAAAAATTGATTCAAAGTTAGACAACTAATTGACCGATTAATTAATGCAACAAGTTAAATGAAGCGGCACAATAATAAATAAATTTCATAGCCCACTAGATATAAATCATTTATTTAATAAAAATAATATATAGGTACGTATAATTTTTAAATTTAGAATTTTACTGCAGGAATTTATTTATTTATTCTTAGTGTACCAAAACCTTTTAAAGATTTATTCTAACAGGTACTTTTGAATGTATTCATATTTTTCGTTGTTTTCAAGCGTTAATAAGACTGTTGTGTAAATAGTTCTGACATGTACCTCGTCATTATTGAAAGAAACCTTTCCAAAGTACAAAATTATTTCTTCATTCGTCATTTCGAAAAAACTAAAAATCACTTTAAGGAATGCATTGACGTAACGGTTTCCATATTGCCCTTCCATCTTTTAAATTAGTTTATGTTAATTAATTATCAAAATTAATTAACCACTTAGGAGTTTCAAAACTGACCACTACACCAAAATCAAAAAATGAAAAGAGACGGCCCTGAGAGAGAAAACTCGAATAGTTATATAAATCGATCAATACCTAAAAGTTCTTATTTTTGGCATTATTATAAGAACATCAACTTTTAATAACAGACATTGACGAAAATATTTTAAACACTTCAGTGTGCGGAAGACAATCTCCATAAAAAGAATCATGTTTCACCCAACGGTTGCAACTACTCACAAAAAAAAATAATATCAATTTGGTGTGTTCCAGTAAAACCAAAGTAATAGTTTACACCAAGTGAGTGTCTCTGGATGCAGATGGCGCGCACGTCTCTGCATGTTTTTGTTGATTAAAAAATGTAAACCGTTGTAGTGAGTGTTGCATGTCTTCAAAGTTTGCCCCCAACAGTCTTTTAAAAGCATCATATCGTTTGTAGGTTGTAACGACGCTGGGTCCTAGAAAACCCCAACGCTCGGGTTCCAACAGCAACCCCCAGAGGTGCTGGGAGGAAGATGGTCTTCTGTCTGGCTGCAGTCCGACGCCACCTCAGCGTCTTTACCTGGAGACCAGCTTCACATCCTTGCAGAGCCCTTCGGGAGCCCCCAGCAACGCTTCTTCCATTACCAACGGCTATTTCTCGAGCAGGAGTCAACCCTCGCCGATTTTTCCTATAACTAAGAGCTTAAGTTTGACGCTGAAAAGACAAACACCAAGTCCCGGATTAAAGTTAGATTTGATCCACGATGACTGGTTTGGATTAGCGCCTTTAGCGAGTCCGGAAAGTCTGTCGGAGGTATCGAGTATTAGTTCAAGGACTGGCGTTCTAGTAACTCAGACTACGGTTTGCGAAATTAATACTCCAAAAATTATGAGACGTACTCCAAAAATAATCGGGAGTCTGAGTACTTGTGCCGATGATATACGTAACGTGAGGAACTTCCAGATGGCCAAAATATTCAGAAGGTGTTCAAACAACGGTAGTCCTGCTACTAACTCCAGTAGTAATTTAAGTTATGAGTCGGCTGCTTCCAGCAGCAAATGTAACAACTGTGATAATGTCACTGAGACGAAGTGTTGTAGCGGTTCTTCAGACAAAATGATCAGTGGTGAAAGTGATGAGTTTCAGTCAGCTGAAGACATACTAGACAACGTTTTGGCGAGTGCCGGATGTAAAGACTTTTTTAACAGTAATTCCGTGTTTTTGGAAACACATTTCGACCTCTTGGAGGAAGCACCCACCAAAAGCGACAGAGGTGCCCAGTCCCCTTCCACGTCGCAGGTATGGATCCGACTTTCGCGTGTATTTTCGGTGTTTAGCAATTACATAATGATTTAAATAATTCATTCATTCATTATTATTAATAGAATAGTCAATAATATTTAATGATAATTACAAGGTCGCACTATGTACAATTCCCTTCCACTCCAATGGGCAGTGATTCAGGATATTCTACTCTATTATTAATCTCCGTTGTTTCCCATTGTCATTTCTTATCTTGTCTATAGGAAACTTTTTATAAGTTCGTATCAATAAATAAGAACGACGTTGCAGGAGATGGATCCTGACATCATCTCGAACTTTGCCATCGACCTTAATTTGGACGAAGAACATCGTTCGTTCCAGTTCGTCTCCCGAAATAACGACACTTCCAAGCCCAACAGCGTTGATTCCGGCAGCGTCTGCAGAACACCCTCCGATACGAAAAACGTCACTTTCAATCCTCAAGTCATCAATATCGACACCAGCATAATGCCTAGCGATTACAGCCCCTCTCGTAAACATTGGCATATATTCAAGACCCGAAAACATAAAAACAGCGAGACCGCGGCACGAATGGCTGCTGCACGCATTATCAGCGAAACACCAGTTCCCAAAACTATATTGTGCGTGAAAAGACGTAACAGTGAGGAAGAATGTTTTTCTCGTAACGAGGCATTGCCTTTGTTGAGCGGTCTTAACGTTACCGGTGAGAGGACGTCCCCTAATTTCGTAAGACGGAAAAAATATATTTACCCTGCCGATATGACTATCAAAGGGGAGAGTAGTGTGTAGTGCCTCTTTCTCGTTTAGTGATTGTTAAATTTCCTTCGACCAAAAATCAATTGTGACTTTGAATTGTGCGAAGTCCACAGCAAGACGAACCGAAGCCTAATATGAGACTCGTAAAATGATGTATGTATTCATACTCGGGAAATAGTAGGGTCCAAGAACGTACCTACGGTAGATTAAGGATATGAAATGTGCAGAGTGTGTATTTAATAATAATAATTATTATTATACATATTAAAGTGAAATATAAAGATTCATAGATTTCTGTCTTGGTTTACGTTTGCTTTATTATTATCATATTATCCGCAAAAAATAACTCCGCCAAATTAACTAATTGCGTTTTACAGTTTCTATATGGAGCGATTTTATTTTCTTTTTGGCTACTTTTATATGCATGGGTCAGTTGCGCCCTGCGGTCGGAAAGATTTGCATGTAATTTTAAGGATTAATACTATTTTCAAATACTTTGATATATTTTGTTTTTGTTGTTAAACTGCGTTAAAGAATTTTGGGAAAAACCGTGAAAAAAAAACAAAAATGAAGCTTCTACACCGAATATCTTGTTAAAATACAAGGGGTTAATAAATGATTTACTTCGAAAAATACAGGTTTTTAGCGGCAGAAGTTGAGCATTGCCATTTTGCATCAATGTCTTGACCAGAACGAAAATAGGCTTCGATAATAAATTTGTCTTCATTTAGAGTCCATAATTTTCCGTATTCTTTGTGATTTAAAGCAATAAACGTTTGAACTAACTGTTTCATAGCCCACTAGATATAAATCATTTATTAATACCCTACATAATTGAAAACAACGTTTTTTTACAACGTTCTTAAGCGTAAATAATGTTTTACCACGGAGATAGAACGAGAGGAGGGAATATAGTTTGGAAAAGTGCATGGTACCGCGCTTTCGACTAGGATCATAAATGGCTGTTCCAGCTCTTCCGAGAAATTGGTTATTCATAAGATTGTGGTGACCGAATTTGAATTAAAATTTCGCGCTGAAAAAAATTAACAACGACGCGAAATCGCATTTGAATAATTAAAAAAAAAAAAAAATCAGTCAAAAAAATCGTTAAACATAGGCAACCATGTGCACGTTAGCGCTTTTTGGGTAGTTGGTAGTTCTGCTTGGAAATTTTAGTTAGAGCGTGGGTAGAAGATGGAGGTTTGGTAGAGGGATGAGAGATTTTACTGTGTGTTGTGTTGTGAGTGTAAATTGGTAGTTAATAAAAAGGGAGGAAACCTTTGTTTAACGACAATTAATAGTGACGACGACGAAAGCACAGTTTCCCCAACACGCGTTGCTAATTCTTGCGGCTTACTAATCGGAAACATGCGAATTTTTGATGATAATGTAATGTCAGCTTCTTCCCCATAGCTCGTATGGCATGTCTCTAGTGGGTAGGAGAACAGCCACGATCAGGAACCCCAAACTCCGCGCGATACTCTTGTGCCGCTGCCGCTGCATAGTTTTTCATTAAAAATGTTGTTCTCTTGAGTTTTAATTTGCTGCCACACGTCCGTAATAACTTGTGGATTTGCATCCATTTTTATTAAAATTGTGATTTTCAAATATTTGCATTGATTCCAGAACGTTAAATTTGATTTCATTCCAAGTCATTCAATTTTTTTTTTGTAGCTGCCCATTAAGCGGTGTCTTCAACGGGCACAACTTAGTCACTTTCTTTTTTTTGTCAGTGGAGGAATAAATAATTTTGTGTCCTCCATATATTTTGTGTTTTATTTAGCGGTACTTTTCCAACGTGGTGGTCCACACACGCATTCCGTCATTTCAAAACACAACGAAGGGTTCCCATTTTGTTAACGATCACAGCCAAGGCCAAATTTTTTAATTTTTCGCGGGCTTTCAATTCTTTTCACATGTCAATTTCAGGCGGGATGTTTGGGTTATCGCAAGATACAAAAATAATTTAATAATATATAACATAAGTAAAAGCGGTAAAATTTTCTTGAATTTTTATGTCGCAGTAAATATATTTGCTTTTAGTCCAAAATTAAGCATATAAATAAGACCTTTGTATTCCCTATGAACATATTTTAAACTAAACGACACCACCTGAGCCTCTGTTGTTAACCGACTACTCCTGTAGTAGTACGGAAAGGATTATTAACAGCTCTTGCGTGGAGCCGTTTTGTCGACAAAATTTTAATATTGGTACAATAAGGCATGTTCCCTCCTGTCATTCTACATCCATGGGTTTTACGAAAAAATTGCAACAAATTTAGTTTTTTTTACCACAATCAAACAGACTGATGTCTAATTATTAATCAAATTTTGATGTATTGAACACCACCAATTGTAAAAAATAAAAAACCAAAATCACTCTCAAAAGATTATTGTTAGGTGGGGTCCGAAACATTTATTATAATTTGAAGGATTAATACAATAAACAGTTATTGCCTGTTCTAATAGTATGTGTGGGTGTCGTTAAAAAATACTAAGTACTAGATGAAATAGTATTACTTTCACAGACCCACTTGCAATTGTATTTATTAATGATTAGATATGCATATAGAGCTTAAACTATTTTTTATTGTATTGATAAATTACTTTATCTTTTTACATATCCATACGAATACTTTTTGTAAAAACAAATCAGGTGATCTTGTTGTTTTTATACATTTTAACTAAAATACTTTTTTTTCGTTATATACGTAGTCTTCTAGTCAATTTGAGGTTAAAATCATATTCAGCTGCGTCACCAGTAGTGTCAAATTTACCGATTCGCGCTACAAATTTACAGCAAAGTCAAGTTGTGGATATGAAAGCTTTTATTTTTGTATAGTTTCTTTTCTTCTTTCGATCTCCTTTTGCTTTTGAGAGAATAAGAATATTCATTCTCTAGTTTTTCTCAAAATAGTCTATTTTCTACAATACGATCATGCCTCAAACTTTTATGGACTTTGCAGTTAAGCTCCGCCCCTGATTTCATAACGAATAAAAAAATTATCACGATTGAGATCGGGGCGGGTAGGTGGGGCATAATTTTTGACTTTTTTTTCTTAATATGTGTAGTTATCTTTCAACAACACGATACATAAAATGTGTTCCACATGGTATTTTCTTGTAGGGAAATATGAACTTTGCATTTAAGCTCAGTCCCCGCCTCACGACGAATACAAAGATTAATCACAATTGGGATGGGGTGTGTGGGTGGGGCTTATTCTTGGATTTCTTTTTGTAAATTACGTAGTCGTCTTTCAAGAATAAAATACTTAATATCAAATGGTAAATTTGAGGTTAGAATTGTTTTAAATATCGTATTGTTGAAAATAGGTATAGATTAACAAGAAGAAGCCAATAATTAAGCCCTACCCACCCGCCCCTATCTCAGTTGTGATGCATTTTTTATTCGTTGTCAGATAGAGGGGCGGAGTTTAATTACAAAATCCATATTTCTATACAACAATTTACCGTTTTAAACGTATTTTAAGTTTCTTCTTCTTCTCATCAATTGGGGTAGTACTATTTTTTTTTAATTAATCACTGAAATGGAGGCGGCGTTTATTATGTTCTTCTGCAGAGTGGGAGTGATAAGTAACTGACAGAAATTAGCCTGTAAAAAAGCGCTAATCGTATTTATTTGTTGTACTATTTGGTACAAGATTTATTTCTTATTTAAGAAAAAAAAAAAGAGAGAACGGGTGGGTGGGGGGGGGTTAAGTTTAACTTTTTCCTAGAGAGTCTTTTATAGGTAAGCAAAATGCCCGCCCACCCACCACCTCTTCATTCTGGTGACTACTCTTAATACTGTTACATAATTATTGACAATATTATTGTTTTATTAGAATCTTCGGCAAATCTGTTAAACCGTTGGTAAAAAAACAAACTTAAATTGTTATTTTCCTACTATAAATTATTCGGTGTACACCTTTTCTTCGTTTATAGTGATTTATAGTGGTGTTTTATTCGTCATATTACATATAAAACATACGTTAATGGGATGTTAGATAAAAACAAAAAAATAGAATGTGTAATAAGAAAAATATAAAATGCAAAAAATGTAAATCCAACATTTTGGACAGTTTGTCATTAATTTTTAAATTCTCTAAATTTAAACTGCTAACTTTTTTATAAAATTAATTACCGAAATGGAGGCGGATGGGTGGGCGGAGTTTAGTATATGTTCTTCTGTAGAACGCGAGTGGTAACTAACTGATAGAAGCTAGGTTGTAAAAAAAGCGCTAATCGTAATTTTTTGTTGTACTATTTGTTATTGTATATCTAATATACAGAGTGAGTCACTAAGCGCACGGTCCTCAATATCTCTTTAATTACTATATTATTTGAGATATAAAAAAGTTAAAGACTAAAGTTGCACGGTTATATGTTGGATGAACTAAAATTGTTTTCGAATATATAGAGTGTTACGACCTATTCTCAGACCTGCCGAATATACACAAAAAATTTCATCAAAATCGGTGAAGACGTTTCGGAGGAGTTTGGTTACAAACACTGTGACACGAGAATGTTATATATTAAATAGATTTATATAATAATATAATTAACACTTGTAGAATAAGACTCAGTTTTATTTATATCACTCCAAATCGCATACCTTTATTTATCTTTCCACAAAATATTGTGGATTTTAAAAATAACCCCATTGCCTTTTTTTGTGAAAATAAAAAAAATGGCATAATCTAACGTGGTTCCATTTGAAAAACCAAAATTGTGAATTGTTTCCAAACCAAAACACTCTGTATAGTACGATAGTAAGTAAGAACCGTATAACTTTATCTCTAACTTTTTCCTGTTTCTAATAATTAATGAAATACAGGGGAGCGCGTCTTAACAGAAACTTTGAAGTCTAGGACAGTCTTCGAATTTTTTCGTTCCTTCGTTGTTAAATGTCAAACTGTAATGTAGGAGGATAGAAGGAGCGTGTCGATTTTTTCTTATCAGTTAGGTATCTCTCCCAAAGTAATAATAACCTTTATAATCCCTACGCACGAGCAACGATATGACTTTTTGGCACTCAGACCACCCACAGGGGATAAATTAACCGCTGCGCGCAAGCGACCAACTCCCATAAATTACGGCCGAAAATTTGCTTTAAACCTTCTTTTCTTTCAGATTTCTTTGATTCTTGATTTTGTGGCCTTATGACATTTTATTACTGATGCTCTACTTAACAGATGTTCAACTGAAAAAGTCATCAAGTTCGCGTTGTTTTTTATACGAAACAGTGGGGTCAAGTTGTACCCATCCACATTATTAAATGTTATCATTTCAATTTTAGGTGGATTACTTCACAATGTTTACAAAAATCAAGGCCAACTTGACGATTTTTTCAATTGAACATCCAATATATCTGGCGAGCAACATAATCGACTTATCCTTGGAAAGCATTTAGCATGTTGGTGATTAAACCGCACTGATAATGGTCAAGAGTATCAAGTAAAAGGCAGATATAAAAGTAAAAATGACCGAGTAACATTAAAAAAAATAGTGTGAAGTTACAAGGAAAATGGGTACAAAGTAAATTAATTTTATTAAATACTTTAATTTAATTAAATTACAGTAAATGCTGAAATGAAGTTTAGTCAGCAAAAAAATTTTCTCCAACAAATCGATCATCACATGTGTCCAAAAACAGTGCTAAATCTTTTCGCAACATTATATATGTGATAATTCCATTTGCTACGCCAAATGTTCTGTGGATGTTGTAGGGGTCTGCTACATTACCTATCTAACATTTGTAATATTTTCTCGAGTTTTCTTATCTTATTTCGAACTTCCAGTTTCCTCATTTCTGTATAGACGAGATTTCTCCGAACTGTCACATACCGTTGTAATACGTTACAAAAACGGACGTAGTCTACGGTGTTGTTGGGAAATTCTCTCCAGAATTCATCTCAACCCGCTTGAATTGAGTAATCTCACACACGGTTTAGCTTCTGTCCGTTTCAAAAATATATATAAACGCTCTCTACTTAAGTGGAAATAATATTTTTGAGTGAATACGCAAATATGCAAAAAAAGTTTTGATAAAAACTGTTTTTAATGTAAAAATTATATGTCTAGGAAGCAAGAGTAAGCAAGAAAAAAAGAAAAGTAAAGTTAGAAGGGCGTTTCATAAAATTTAAATCATAGTTAAATAAAAAATCACTTTATAAGGATGTTAGTTTATGCTTTTTTAGATGTCTATTCTAAATATTAGGTTTACAAAATTATTTGAAATTAAAATTATTGTTAAAAACTTTTTCACCTACGTATCTTTACATGTAGCGTTAACACACTATTTCAGAAAAGACATACGGATTGAATTCCAAGGATGACTCAATTAGAAATTCTGTAGCTCGCACGATATTTCCAATGCTTCTGAAACATCTTTCTATGTATTTCCTTTTTACTTTGTATCGTCCTCTCGATGGCTTGAATTATTATGAAAGTAAGGTCTTTCCTCTCTAAAGCCATATTGGGTGTTTTTTCATACAGGTGTCTTTTTTATTTGACACAACTCCTGTAACTTTTTTATTTTTTAAGATAAACCTATAGTTCTTTGAGTAGATTTGTATCATTTTAAAATCTCTGTCTAATGATAAGCACACACTCTTGTTATCACTTTCGGTAGAATCGAAAATGGCATCAGCTTCATTTTTTTAGATGGAACACTTGGTATATTTTCTTATAAATGGTAAGTTTGCTTTTTTGTTACAAAAAATCAAATAGAACCAATATTCTAAAATGAATAACTCAAAAGTTGTTTAGTAAAATAAGTCAAAAACTATCTATTTAATTCAATTCTAGTTGCTTGAAAAAATTATAAAATTTGATTTTGCGATTTTTGTTATTTTGATAATCTATATAAAGTAAAAATTTGCGACATAAATAACATCCCCACAGCCCTTGCGCCAAGAATTTGCGTTCACAATTGCATGAACAATGTAAAATGTATTTAAAGCAAATAACCAATGGGAAAAATATCGTCTTAGGACTTAAGCTTCAGTTCAAATGTTTATGTTTATTCATTGAAATTAGTTTCTCTCCTCAAAACAGAGCACTAAAATTATGTCGGTCAAAATGTTTTGAATATTATAATTTTTTTTATCATTATTAAATAATTTAAAGATTTTCGAGAAAAATGGGGTGACTCGTTCTTAATTTGATCAATAAAAAATTTGTGATGACTTCATCAACGTAATACTAGTCATAGTACACATTTAGGGAAAAAAAGCATAGTAACATTAAAATAATTTCAAAATAGAATTCTTTGACTTGGCGTCATCGAATTGTTGGTGGGGATGATTGGCCAAATTTTGGTTAGCGTTTAGCCATCTACATGATATTTCAAATATACACACAAAATTTGACAACAATTGGTCCAGATTATGTGTCTAGTCAAAATCGACACAGACGGCAGACAGACAAACAGACGGAAACGGGAAATCACTTTTTTCGTTTACGCTCGGGAAATAAAAAGAACATTAAAAATGCGAGCGCAGCGAGCACGTTTAGGTGATATTAAAAATTGTTCATCTGAGAAGCTAGACTAATTTTAATGAGATAATTTTGACTACCAAAGAAAGGTGAGCAAAAAAATTTGTTTGTGATTATCTGCTAAATTCGAGGTGATTTTAACAATCTAAACGTGCTCGCTGCGCTCATCTTCTAAGAGTACGGTTTTTTAAGTCTAGAGATTTATTCTTACAAAGAAAAAGAGAATCTAAACAACTTCGCTGAGATTCTTTCCTTAACACTTCTATGAGAATAAAAGCGAAAAAAAGCTGAAAATGCGAACACAACGAACATGTTCAGGTGTACTTAGTTTAAAAAACTTCTTACTGATTTCCCTGAGAAGCTAAAATATTCTCAAAAAAGTGTATTTATTGTCTACAAAAACTGAATCTTTAAAACCACTGTGTTTCTTAAAGTTGGGGAGACTCTGGGAACCTGAACGTGCTCGCTGCGCTCATATTCCAAGGGTGTGTTTTTTTTTTTAATCAAGAGATTTATTATAAGTTGGATCCAAACAATTTCGCTGAGATCCTTCATCGAATACATGTGAGACTAAATTAAAAAAAGAACATATAAGTAAGTATAATGGACTGGCTCATTAATTAATTAATTCTTTTGAGTCACCCTGTATACCTGTATAAGTGATTTTAAACACAATGTTGATAAAACCTGTACTACCATGTATTGATTTCACAGTTACGTTGTATTGTTAATTTTCGAAATATAGAAAAGAGTTAGTAGTTTCTAAAGACACAAAAGTGAAAAAAATAGTATATTATTATACGAGTTTAATAAGACGTCTTATTGTGGCACGCATGGGTTTGGGGCACGACGAGCGCAGCGAGGAGTGCTCCAAAGGAATAAGTGCCACAATGCGTCTTATTAAACGAGTTAATATACTATTTTTTCTACTTTGCATCTGATCGGACACAAAAAATTAATAAAAATTTAAGGTTATAATTTAGGGCCTTTTAATTCGAAAGGTTAGTTAGCGTTGTGGCTAACTTCACGATGTCAAAGTTTGACATCTAACCACCGAACACTAACAATCTAACCTAAGTTTGCCTCAAAAAATGGAAGAAGAGGGCCCCACTTATTGCACGCCACCTGAAATACAGTTTAACAATTGATCCCATTATTAAACTGGTTTCGGTTTAATAATGAGGCCATTGTTAACGCAAAGTAGAAAAAAGACTTATTTGGGCAAAAAAAAAATTCTTTAATATGATTCACAAAAAGTCTCATTCTGTTTTAATTAAATTAGACCGGGATAGCGCGTACGCAGTCCCGACTACCAAAAATTGTGCGCCCGAGTTATCCACATTAGGGATAATCGCAAGGGTCAGCCCGACCGTAGTGCAATGGAAGGGCCTCATCTTGGGGGAACCGCCTTGTTGATCACGGTAACCCCTACGCCAGGTAAGTATGCTTTGACAACCGTCCCCTATGGTAGTTATGATAACAGGTACGTTTACTGTACGGGAACCATACAACAGGGCGCCCTCTTTATTTCAGTAGCTAGTATTACAAAACGAAATATGGTAATCTGGTCTTCACTGGCAATTTTCAGAAGCTCCATGTATCATAGAAGCATATTAAATTATTTAAAAAATATAATAATGCACATTAACTCCTGTAGCCTAAAGCTGAAAGATGTCCTTGAGATTAATAGTTGTTCTCTTAGAATAAATATTAAGTGTATCTCACGAGCTAAGTACAAACAATAAAAAATACAAACGATTCAGTTATTAAAAAATATACTGAATGTTCCATTTCCGGTGTTACCGGAAGTGAGAATTAAAGAATCTAGTTACCAATAAAGAGATCTTGTAAATTTGTTCAATGTGTAAAAAATCTATCTTTAAAAATAAAAAAGTTACAGGGAGTTGTATCAGGTCAAAAAGACACCTGTATATTGCCGAATTCTTTTTTGATTCTAATTAGTTTCTACAAATCGTGCTATTATTTTTCTGGTACGTTCTTGGAAATGATTTCATATATTTTATCTTTCTTTTTGGTAAGAGACTCTTCCTCTTTTGTCTAAATATTTGATCACTTCCGTTGAGATAATATCATTCTTTACCCGGTACTTTCCCAATCTGTAACTGTGTTATCGCTGATGCCTTTTTCTTCCTCTTCTTTGGTTCTTTCTATTTGTTCTGTATTTCGTCGGTACTAATTCTTTAAAATATTCTGCCAACGTTCTATTATTTTTCTTTCGTATTTCAATAGTTTTCTATATTGGACATTTACATTTTGTACATGGTATTTTTTTACTTTTTAGCCATTTCACAGTGCTATTAAACATGATTAGTTCTGATTTTTAAATTTCCTTCGACAAAAATAAATTGGGACGAAGTCCACAACAAATCGAACACAGTAGGCCTTAATACGTACATACCTGCGATAGTTTAAGAATATGTCGTGTGCAAAGTGTATATTTAATAATAATAATAATAGTAATACATATTATACTGAAATATAAAAATTCATAGATTTCTGCCTTGGTTTACATTTTCTTTATTAAGTAAATAATATTTTATTTACATACAATAGGTGTTATAACAACCTCTTTGATTTTATTTACAAACATCACAGTACGACATCTACGTGAAATTTCAATTACCAAAAGCAACGCAACGACCAGTACACGTTCAGGAATGGATGATATGTCAGATGATGGTAATTGATCACCAAATATTCAGCTTAGGTCATAACCGAATGATGTTTTTGACTTTACGCATGTTCTCCAGTCGCACTTCTAACCAAGCGAACGGTACGACTGCCGCCACGAGGAAAAATCCCAGAGCGTACAGTTTATAGTAATTACATACAATTCCATGAAAGACGAATGCCACACTCATACCCAAGAATCGAAAAAGTGTCGAGTTTGCGAATGCTGATTCCCAGTTGTCGCTGTATAATCCGGTTAGAAGAGCTGAAATCGATAAGAGGCTATAATTAGTTTTTTATGTCTCCATTTTCAGTCACATACATTCATTACTTTAATCACCCACACTAATAGTTAAGGCGAAATTGTACTTATTTGTTCCGACGTCACGGAATTGTTTTTTCACTTTAATTAATTAAATTGAATAATTCATTCTAGTTCTTCATACTATAATAGATCCTATTCATTATTCAGCAAATATTTAAATCAGATAAACGTGGGCAAAAAGTATTTAAAAAAGCCAAAGTCACATTTTAACGATCTGGCTTGAGAACACAACAGTTAATAACTTTGTGTCATAAAACCAAAAACTGTTTAATCATATTTCTTAGATTCGGTATACAGGTTTTGAAAATAGTATTTAAATATACTGATATGTGTATGCGGATATCAGATTATTTTTTGTACAAAAAGTGTTTTAAATTTTTCACGATTAATTAGGTCAAGTTAGTTGTCACTAACATAATGTTTAATAAATAGAAATAAATTAACATAATAATAAACTGCCGCACGCGTGGTAAGCACTGGATTCAGAGTTGACGGTGATTAATGTTTTTCATTTGGCGTCACTTATTTCAAAATGAGAAAAGTTATATTCTTATATCAGAAGAGTATAATCTTTTTCTTGCACCATAAATAAGTTAATGGCAATACATCGAACAAGATTTAGAAATGTGTATGTTTGAAGCCGACCGTTTCCCTGCAATGTATAGTGTTTTATTATAGCCGACAGGTTCGCCAGATTTAACGTCCCTTAATTTTTTGTGGGGTGTTTAAAATCTAAAGTCTATATTAACACATCTAACAATTTGGACAATCTGAAGAACCAAATTAAATGGGTAAAACAAAGTGTTTACAGACGTGCTGGTATGTGCCAAATGGTTAGTAGATGGCAGTTTGAACATTTACGGTAGTTTTGTTGTTTTACTATAGAATTTCAGTAGGTTCAAATTATATCATTATATCGAATTTTTGTTTTTCCAAAAATGCTTATGTAAAGTAACAACTTTTTTCTGTGACCATTTACTAATAAAAAGATCTATTAGAATTCGAAAGAAAAAGTTGGGGTTTCTATTTAGAAAAATAATTGATGACGCCACTGTGCAAAAACGCCTGGTTGGAAAAAATAAATTTTTCAATTAAAAAGTGTCATTAAAAAAAAAAAATTGGGCTGGCCGAGATTTTTTCGAGAAAAGTGAATAACGGAACCATGAATTTTGTGTCGTACTCTGTATAAATGGTACCACTACACGAGCAACACATTTTCCAGACTCAATAAGAGCAGCTAGCAAAAGAATTAAGAAAACTGAGCTAGAAAACAAATAATTTTTTTAAGTCAGGCAAATAAAACGAAAAAGCTACGTTTTTCCCAAGAATTTGTAAACAATGGTGAAAGGAAGCAAATTTTCGGCAGACCGTAAGTCGCGATGAGGGTACTGATAGAAGAGGGGTTTTATGACAACCGCGCCGCGCCAACGCTGAATGAAAGGTATTGAGTTTTGGTGACGAAGAACTATTGGAAGTAGGAGGATCCGTGTGTTTTTGAAACTTCTTTTGTAGTTTTCACCTACCACAACCTTTCAAATTTTTGAACTGCCACCAGACCATACCGAAAGTATCCTACTGGGTTCTGAGTGATACCGATAGCCGTCACTTTGCGACCGTCCCATACAACCGCCACCGATAACCACCCCTTTTCGGCCTATCGTCCCCGTTTCCCCAAGATCTGTTAATTGCTGCGAGTTTTTTTTAATCAGTCGGTGATTAAGAAATAAAAGTCGAATCTTTTTAAGTTTAATAGAAGTAGTATTATTTCTGTGGTGGCCGCTCACGAGACCCTTTAGAGATCCGTTTCTGCGATTAGAATACCTCCCACTAGACTAATGCGGAGAAAAATCACCTGCTTTCAAGTTTTTCGTCTATGTGCTGCCAAATTTGCTATGGAACTAATGAAACTGCAATGTAGAAAGGTGAAAGGACTGTGCCGAGTTCCTCTTATCAGCTAGGTACCTGTAGGTAATAATAACCCTTATGATATCTCATGACCTTTGTGGATTAGATAAGTCACCGGAGGTAAATTCACCGTCAGGGGCAAGTGCCCTACATTTGTACAGTTGTACTAATTTACACGACTAACCATACAGCGATTATGTACAGAATAATTCCGGCGCAACGTGCATTCTTCTGGATGGTTCGCGAACGCCGCTTCGAGGTTTCCGGCAACCCGCTCCAGGAGAACCTCGCCCGGCCGCCGTCACCGATGATGAGTCACCCGTCATCGCCGCACATACTAGAAGACCCATAGGCGTCCTACCGGGGTGGCGTATGCCTTTATTTCGTAACAATATTGTCGTGTAGATTCAAGAAAAAAATGTACACATATATCGTGTATACACATTTGACATCGTCCGTTAAGTATAAGATTCTAAGTCAGTCTATTTCTTCCCATTCTTTTATCTCTTTTTCACACCTTTCTGTGTTTTCTTCCCTATAGTATTGCTTCATATACTTTCGTTACAAGTTTGTATTCTGACATTCTGTTTACATGACTTATTTTCACCTTTTTTTATTATCGTTTGTTTCTAATTTAATCTTTCATGATTACTGTGGTGTCCCAGTTTGAATTAAAATTTTGCCCTGAGACAAAAAAAAAAACAGAAGCGCGAAACCGCATTTGATGAATTTGAATTTTAAAAAAGAATTAAGAAAATTGCTGAACATAAGCAACCATGTGCAACTTCAGTTTAGTATCCTGTTCCCAGGGAATTAGTCGATAGGTAGTTGATGAGGAGTTGATAGTAAAACTTGTGAAAGCAGACTCGTTTTGGTTTAGATACAACACTCCTGAAGTAACGGTTGTAATGTAAAGACGTAGTCAGCATTAAAGGTACTTAGGATAAGTTTAGTTTGGTTGACGCCACGGTTTCCCCACAAGCATATTTAATTATTATTAATGTTTTTCTAATCAGAAATGTGTGAATTTTTGACGATGTATTTAACACGGAGTGTAAAATTTGTTTATTGATCGTAAATTCACAGCTCATTTTAAGATTTTTAACTGTTCTTGGTTCTAATATAATTTACCAGTCATGAAATTGTACATATAAACCACATGCTAGGAAATTCACTTAGTCAGGCTTCGTTCTTTTATTTATCAAGTTATAACTAAGGTTCCTGGATCTTTTACTTAAATATTACATTATAGTACACTTTAATTTCTCATTCGAGATTGTTAATAGTTCCATTATGGCATTTAAACTGATTTAAATATTAAAAAATATCTGTTGAGAAAGAGGACCTTGAAAAGTGTGGTTAAATTCATACTCTCTTGGACTCGAAAAAGGGGAGGGGTTCAATATTTTCCTAGAGGTTTAATAATTTGTTTCAGGTCTAATAGGCCCCAAGCGTAACGTTTCCGACACCAGGTGTTTTGATTTTGACTGTATTATGTGTTTATTTTTTTGTTTGTATGTGATGTGGGGTTTTTCGATCCACGACGTAATCTGTGAATGCGATTTGATATAATGAATCACTTGAAATAACACCCGATTTAATCTCGTGTAAATTCTTTGTTGTTTGAAATTGTTGATAAAGTGTGGCACCATTTAACATCATGTAAATTTTTTGTTGTTTAAAATTGTTGATAAAGTGTGCCGTAATTAATTTAAGTAATTTGAATACTCATTTCGAGAGACATAGAATTTGAACTTAATTGAAATAAAAGGGTCCAAGTTCACGTGGGGAAAGCGGAACACATGGTCTCTAGTTAAAGTCTGCAGTTTTGTCATTTCCCAAACAGATGTTGAAGTTGAGCCTTCATGGGGAGATCAACGTTGGTGTGAAACGTGCAGCTTGGTTTAATAGCTGGCTATAGTTAGAGGAGAGCGGGTAAAGAGTATAATTACGCGGCAGGTTTTTTCAGTATATAAGTGTGGAGTATGTTTTGATACCTGCCTATAGAGTAAAATCACTACGACGAGGAACTTAAATCCCGCTGTCGTTACAACATCCGCTGTAGCTCGCTTGCTGACTTCTCGACTGCCATAATATTTAAATTTACCGCCACTTTCTCCTGCTTTTTTTTTAATTGTAATATTCACATATTTAACTTGATTCGGAACCTTTAATTTGAGTTCATTTTGAAAGCTAAGCAGGTCACCATTTTGCTTCTGGACGCGTTCCGCCATAAAAAAAAACGAAATAGGGTTCCATTTTATTGACGATTACAAATCAAGGCCAAATTTTTCGCGGGTTTTAAAGTTTTGTTCATATGTCAAATTATGGTGGGATGTTTAGGTTATTGCATTACCTTTCCTTTTTCCCAGGAATTTCATCTGTGTGGTATTTATCATACTAATATTTCGTTATTGTCCATGTAATTCATTTCCATATGGAAGCCTCAGAGTTATTACCTTTTTTTACAACCTCTACTTTACCTATTTCGGAATTTCTTTATTTTCAAAAAATTATATTTATTCTTCTTGCTATCAAAAAGCTTTCCTGTGATCCTTATTCTTTCTATTATTTCGTTCTCTAAGTTTCATTTGATTTCTTCAATAATTCCTAAATACTAAATACTTAAACTCTTTTACTTGTTCTATCTTTTCCTCCTCTATTACAGTATTAGAAGTTTTTGTTTTAGAAACTTAGAACTATTGGCTTTGTTTTGTTGCATTTTATTTCCATATTTTTCTTCTTGAGCAGTTTATTTAGGGTGTATGTATATGCCATGGGCAAGTTTCTTTCTGATTCAGCATCTATAATAATTATAGTACTATACCATCTGCAAAAATAACTCCACTTTCATTTAGTAGACCTCTTAAGATATAATTCTTAACGGGTCTCTTTGAATTTTCAATTTTGCTGTTGCTGTTGCCAATAATTCATCTTTAGTGATTTGCGGTTTTTCTTGTTCTTGTTTTCCTTTTACTTCCTCTTCTTTTGCCTTCTATGTTTGTTCTGCATCTAATAATAGTTTAAAATATTCTATCCAACGCTCTCCTTTCATAAATGTCTATATTTTCCATCTTTGTCTTTTATACAGGGTTATGATAAAGTAATGCACAAAATTCATAACAAGAGCAGCATATAAAGCAGGTATATAGGTAAATTAAATATTGCATTATTTGATAAAGTTTATTTTTCTGCATATGAAACTATAGTTTGATATAGGGGTTCCATAACAAAAAAATTGGGCAAATTAATAGCAAACAAAATAATCTAGATTTTAATGATCAATAAAAAACAGAACAATACATTGGAGTAAAAATTTATGCTATATTTAGAAATTGTTCAAACTGTTCCTCATTCACCATCTGATATAATCCCTGAGGATGGTAGACCTGACTGACGGAATTTTCAGTACTCTGAAGACTTATACGAGTCATTTCATGACGAATTCGTGCTTCCAAGTCGTCTAAATTATCGAGTCTGTTCATGTAAACACGACTTTTTATATGTCCCCATAAAAAAAATCAAAGGGTGTCAGTTCCGGAGACCTAAGTGGCCATTCTATTGGTCCACGCCTTCCATTAAATTGATTATCCAAAAAAACTCTTACGTTTACGCCATGATGTAGTGGTGCCCCATCCTGTTGAAACCAAATTATATATTTTTATTTCTTAACAGTTTCATTGTGCTATAAAACATTTGTTGATTGTCCCTGAAATCGCCTTTCATTTTTTGTCCACTTTTCAGTTTGACCGTTTTTCTTTTTCTTGATATTCCTGATGGTACTATATTTTCTTAGTACCCAGCTATTTTTCCAATCTTTATTTTTCCTTTCATATCTTTTTTCACAATGCTTCTGTTTTTTTTACAGTTTTTCTTTCTGATAACCATTTTTTTTTCAAAACAGTATTAACTTCTAATTACCTTTACTTCGCAGACGAATTTCCAATTCTTTTTCGATTGATAATTATTTTTTTCTTGCCAGAGTCTGTGTAAAAACTTATATTTTATATTATATTCCATAATAATTTTGAGTTTACTTGTGTTCTTTATTCAATTTCTGTAACACATACGTTATTTGTCCGATTTTCTTAGTTTCATCTTTAGTTCTAAATGTCTTTCTATAAAGTCTCCTGTGTTCTGTCCAATATGTGTTATTGTTATTTGTACTTGTATTTCTTTTATTATTAGTTTTTTTTATTACCTTTTTCTTGTCCTTATATCTTATTTTTGCTTTTGTAAATAGATATTCGTTTTTCTCTTTCAGTTCTACAATCACATATTTAAACTTTTCGTTTGTTCATTTCTTTTTATTTTATTCATTAAATTCATTATTTTCATCAATATTTCATCATTGTTACCTTCTCCGTTAATTGTTAATTTGTTCTTCTCTTCCTTCTTTTCTTTTGGTCTTTTTCATAAAACTAATTAACAATTTATATTCATTAAACAGACACCTACTTTAACATATAGTTAATGAACTTTTTATCAGCCATTTAATAAATAATTTATAGTATTAAATTCCAATCCGGCGTTTTGTATAATAGATTTCGACAAAAAAGATCATTACCTAAATATTCACTGGAAAAATAGGTCACGAAAATCCGGTATTAGCTGTGTTTCGGAGACGAACGAGCAAATAAATAAAAATTACTAAATAAATTTATGAGTTAGATCAAGTCAGGTCAGATCAGATTATCAAGACAATCGTACGCAAGTTTGTAACGTAAATGCCAAAGTTCCAACAGTATACTTACTAAAATTGAGCATTTCCCAAATAGCGTTGCAGACACCCCAAGCAGCAGAAATGACGTAAAAAAGTGCAGGATCGTCCTCAATGGGTTTCCACAGTATTAAAACCATTAACAAACATGCATGAAAAGTGAAACCCACAGCTAAAAATGGAAAAGTAAGCGCAATGGTACCATTAGAACCCAAGTTTAAACTTACCAACAACGTAGTACCTTCGGATGGTTCTTAAAAGCATGCTTAAAGTACACGCTGCTATCGATTGCAGTAAACCCATCGATAAGAATACCAAATTGAGTCGATGGATACCCAAAGTGCACACAACGTAAGACTGAAAAAATAATAAATACAAGATTAATCATGGGAGCCACCCTTTTTTCTTAATTAAGTAAAATAGAAGCTGTAATGAGGCCTTCATGGTGTTTAATTTTTGTGACGTGATTGATGTTACGAAAATAAATTGTGTTTTAAATTATTCATTAGATAATGGGACTCACGTCAATTTAAATTAGACTATTTGATTAGGTAATTTAATGAAAATTTATTTCTAAGTATTTGTCTTGAAATCGAAAGAAAAGTATGTGTTAGATTCATACTGAACACTATGAATGAATTAGCAATTTATTATAAAATTTTGGCAATAACTGCAAAATGTTAAAATGCAAATTTTTGTTCCATACACGTGGAATTTTTACATAAAAATCGAGGCCATCGGTTACAAAAATAATTAGTAATTAGAATCTTAACGATGTTTGTTCTTTTTTTGTAAAATCCAAATAAAGTATATCGAAATTTTAAAATAATAATAACCTTTATAACGATGTAACCTGTTCACACCAAGAATTACTGATCCGAAGAAAATGGAAATTAAGGAACCAAAAAACGAAACAATGTTGATTCCTTTCTAAAATTGAAATATTCGAATACACTAACCTTGCTAAAATCTGCGTACATGAACGCCTGTTCTAATCCAATAAACAGCGCCAAAGGAGCTGCCATCTGCAGTCGAACGTCCCGGAAGGACTCTTTCACTGCCCGTAAAGCAGCAAGTCCTTCTGGCCTTTCCAAGGGATCTTGATAAACGTACATTCTAATTCTGTCTAGTCCTGCTGCACTCGTCATGGCTGCAACTAGACAAAAACCGGCGTAAACGACGGCCAAAACTGTGGACGTGTTTTTTGGCAAAACGTGGAAGAAACCCTCTTCGGACATGTTGAAATGTAAAAGAAAATTCGGAGGACATGCCTGGGCCCCACAGAGTCTTGTTCCCTCGAAAGTGTCGAAAATGTCGTCCAGAAAGGCGTTATAATCGTAAACATTATGCGACGAAAAAGCAGGTTTCTCCCTGAAAGTTACATTTAATGATTTTAGGACTGTATCTACGTTAAAGATTCGTCTTTGTCACCATGGTGCGAAATTAATCACTAGCGTGACACAGTTTATGTAACTTGGTTTTTGGTCTTAACACTTGGATGGTTATTAAAAATACAGGTCATAAAAAAGCTCCATTTTACCTGCTCGCATCGATTTACCTTGAAAGTTTTCAAGTGATTACCCGTGCGTTTGACATTTTTTGCATCAAATTTAGATAACAGTTATAAATTTAAAGGCAGATTTTTATGACTGGAATGTTGGTAAAAGTGCATTTATTTCGAAAAACGTAAGTTTTTTGTTGGTTATAATTTATAATACTGGGTAACTGTTAAAGACTGAAGCAATTATTGTGTTGGCAATTCAGAATTATTGGTATCCATGCTAGTACGTCAGTTTAAAAGTCAATTTTGACATAGGCACGCTTAACAAACGAGTTGACAATCAGGTATTCCATCATAAAATTTTAAATAGGTTGCCAACATGAAAAAAAAATCGCAAACATTAATAGTCACTCGGTATTTAATGTTAATGTTGTGAGATTAATACTTATTTAAAAAGTTGACCCCCTCCTGTAAATAAAATAAAAACCTATAGAGACCATAACTTCTATTATGGTGTCTATTTATTAAAAAATGATTCATACATGCAGCAAAAAAGAGATCAGTTTAGATTAAAAATTTTGCCGCTTGTAAAAATAATGTTCTGAACATAGAATTTTCAGACATATTTTGAAACATTTGTTGAGCAGTTCATAATTTGTGACACTAGTTCATCCAAACTTCATTTTTCAGGTAACCAACTAAAGAAAAATCAAGTGAACCAGAAGCGCAGTATGCGCTGTTGCACTATATTTTGAAAGTAACCAAATCCTAATTCGTCATCATGCAACTGATTCATAAATGGCTCCAACCTTGGTAGTATTAATGGTATCATGAAACAACATGGGTCCAACCAGTCTTCGGTGTGAAACCGCTGTCCACACGACCAGTTAAATTTTGATTAATGTTAAAGAGGCGGCAAAATGTCTTTGTTTTACAGAGGTATTGCGACGTATGAAACTTTTATAGACACTTTGTATAATTATTTTCCATATAAATTTCAGTAAATAGTGTTATTTGAGAACATGATCATTTTCTTTTTTAAAATTATCCAACGAAATTCCAAGTATAAAAAAATATTGCTTGGTATTGTAGTGTCCTGAATTTGAATTTCAAATTTCGCGCTGAGAAAAAAACCGACTCTGCGAAACTGTATATGAAAAAGACAAAAAATCATTCAATAACGTAGGCAGTCACCCATGTATGTTCTAAAGCATGTAGGGAATTAGTGAATGCCACCATTTATGTTGGTAGTGGTTTTTGGCGCTACCAAAACACGTATTAAAATTGATATTTACAATTTTTGTTTGTAGCTGCATAAAAGCGAAATTGTTTAAATAAAAGTGAATCCCATTCGACATCACAGTCCTCCTCAATGAGTGTAATTAGTGGAATGTTTTTAGTTGTTCATGCTTCTAATACAATTTAACTGCAATCTTGGAAAATGTTCCTGAATAATACGTGACAGGAAATTCACTTATTCGGGTCCAACTTATTACTTCCCGAGTGTAAGTTAAGGAAGTATTGTAATCGAGTCTATCAAGCGACTCGCTATTTTTAAGTTTTCTCGACGTTTCATGACCCCTAGAATATGATTAGATCTCTCGTTGCCGCCTGTCTATCTGCTGTCTGCCGTGTATCCGCGTCTGTGTCGATTTTTATTAAACAGATAATCTTCTAAACTACCTGAGTGATTATTGTCAAATTTTGTGTGTATAGTAGTAATATAGTGTAGAAGATAAAACGATAACCAACGATGATATGACATCATCTCCAACTTTAATAGTAAATGCTATTTAAATTTTATAAAAATAACATACTCCTCCACTTGTAGTTTATGAATCCGCGTTGAGTTTTTATTTTAACCATCCATATTTTTATATAAAAAAATCAAAATTCTATAATAAAAACTGAATGCTCTGAAACTCGTTGACGTTTTAAGATTATCGGAAACATGGTAAATCGTTATTCAAAATTTATTCGTTTACGATCCCCCTAAAAACTGATGACGTCATCTTAAAATTTTGCCACATAAATCCTTTCTAAAATGTACAAAATATGATGATTTATCATTCCATTAATATTTTCACTTCCTGAGCGTAAGCAAAGGAAGTATTGTAATCAAGTTCGTCGACCGACTATCTTCTTTTACGTTTTCTCGACCTTTCATGCCCCTATAACATGAAGAGATAGGTCTCCCGTTTACGTCTGTCTGTCATAGATTTTTATTAAACGGATAATCTCCGAAAGTACAGGGCCGATTGTTGTCAAATTTTGTATTTATATTAGGAATATCATGCAGATGGCAAAACGCTAACAAAAATTTGTCTAATTATTCCTACCATTAATGTGATGACGTCACTTCAAAATTGCACACAGCAAATGGGTTTTAAATTGTATGAAATAACATAGTCCTACACATGTAGTTTATGACTCCATATTTAGTTTTTACCGGAAAAGCCTAGATTTTTGGAAAAAAAATCGAAATTATAAACCAACACTTTGCAATTTAATTTTGAATCTGCAAAACCGAATGTTTTGAAATCTTGCAGATGTTCTAAAGTTATGATAAGCATGATAAATTTTTAATCAAAATATGTTTACTTATTTCCTCCAAAATATTAATGACGTCAGCTCAAAATTTTGCCGTATAAATCCTACCTAAATTGTACTTACAAAAAAATAATATAAGTCTGTACTTGTAATTTATCATTCTATTAATATTTTTTAGATTTGCATATACAGGGTGACTCAAAAAAATTAATGAACGCATGAATTTATTTTATTGCTTTAAACTGGAACTACAAAATCAAATGTTTTGAAATCTTAGAGATGTTTTAAAGTTATCGTAACCATGGTAAATTTTTGATCATCATGTAGTTGCTCATTCCCTTCTAAAAAATTGATGACGTCACCTCAAAATTTTGCTGAATAATCTTAAATTGCAAAATATGATAAAATTTAACGTTGCATTCATATTTTTTAGATTTGCTTATACAGGGTGACTCAAAAAAAAAATAAATCAGTGAACTTATTTTGTTGAATAAATCAATTTTGTTAAAGTTATTGTAAGCCTGGTAAATTGTTAATCAAAACATATCTGTTTATTCTCCCCGAAAAATTGATGACGTCACCTCAAAACTTTACCGAATAAATTCTACCCAAATTGTTCTAAATATGATTTTACTTGTGATTTATCATTGTATTCATATTTTTTAATTTTGCTTAAACATGTGTGTCAAAAAAATTAATGAATGAGTCAATTTATTTTATAGATTAAATCAGGAACGGCTCACTCAAATTAAGAACGAGTCACCCCATTTTCTCAAAAATGTGAAGCATACGCACGTCTTTATATAATAAGGATACAATAAGAATTATAATATTATGTATTCAGAACATTTTGTTCGATTGCGCTTTAATTAAAAATTTTAGTCCTGTGTTTTGAGAAGACAAGCTCATTCAAATCAAACTGATTTCTACGTGACATTCTTTCGATGTATAAACATAAATAAACAGCGTCAGATTGTTATTACCTAGCGTTGAAGAACAAGAGTTGTTAGAGGTGGATTATTTTAAGTTCAACATGGTGAGTCATCAGAATTTGTCGACGGACTGTCAGTCAGTAGCGTAATATGCACACTTCAGAAGGGGATGGTTTTTAAATTTATTTTTTCAATCACAAACAATAATACGCCGAAACATAAACTTAGTGAACTGGTCAACACGCTATCAAGAATGCGGATGAATCTATTAGGCACCAATCTAAACAGGTATAGGAACACATCGCAGGTAGAAAAGTTCACTATGACAGAGAAACCATGATGGTATGTACGCCCATTCGAACATGCTGGATATGTTTCATTGTACTTCAGGAGCTAGGGAAGTTCTGTCGAAACAACTTTGGACCAATTTTTTAGAATTGCCTATACAGGTGACTCAAAAAAATGAATGAATGAGCCAAATTATTTTATTGATCAAATCAGGAACTGCAAAACCGAATGCTTTGAAATATTGCACACTCTTTAAAGATATCGAAAGTATGGTAAATTTGGAATCAAAATATATCATAATAGAATAAAATAATTAAAAAAAATAAATAAAAATATCTGTTTACCCTCTTCAAAAAATTATCTTATTAAAATATGCAAAACATAATGAGTCTATACTTGTGATTTATAATTACATTAATATATTTTTGAATTACCTATACAAGATGACTTAAAAAAAAATTAATGAATAAGTCAATTTATTTTATTGATTAATCAGGAGCGGCTCACTCAATTTTCCCAAAAATTTTGGAATACAATACTGTTATTGTGTCAATAAAAATATGTACATTGATGACGTCATCACAATATCTTGTAAAGGAAAAAAAAATCATTTGAAACCTACGTGAAGCACGCTTCTTTACATTTACTTTAACATTACATACATATCTTTGTTTTAACTTAGAGGGGTTGTAAAAAAAAAATTAATAAAAAATAATGTAATTTGTCGAAAAAGCTGGATATGTTTTATTGTATTTTAAGAGCGAAGGAAGTTGTAAATAACATTTGACCATTTTTTTAACAATGATATCTCACAGTTCTAGATGTTCTTATATTATAAGATTACAGTACACTTCATAACATCTCACTCAAGATTTATGACAGTTCATCTATGCCACTGAAACCAATTTTGAAAGCTTAACTCGTTTTTAGAGAAACTGTCTTGAAAATTAATAACATTGTGAACTGGGGAATGTAGAGCCTAATTTGTGCACATGTAAATTCTTTGTTGTTTGAAATCCTCGATAAAGTGTGGACTATGGAGTAACTAAATGTTGCTTGCTTCATTTCTTGTAATTCTAATACTTATTCACTTATCGCTA